ACCAATCATATCTCAAGTTTTAGCAAATCGGCCAATCAGATTACAAAAAAAAGTTGTGGGATTCACGGGGATTCAAAAAATATGTTATAAAACGAAGTAAAAATTAATCCGTTAATTTACTCTCGTTTTATAGAAATTCAGATACCCGAGCTTTTAAAAAAAGTATTGTAAAATGTATAAAAAAAATAATTTATCAATTGTGTAACCATACCGGAATCATCTACAAATTTGAACGGTCGCTCCTGTTTCAACATATATTTAGAATCCATCCGCCTAAAACTGACGGATAAGAATATCCACATTTACGGCTGTTTTCATAATTATGGGACACCTGACAAAAAATTACAGCTATTATCATTATTTATGGGACACCTGAAGAATTTTCAGATGACTGAAATATCCTGTTTCATTCGGTAAATTACCTAACTTCTCGGAAACTATATCGTTGTCTCCAGACCTTCAGTCCGAAAACAGCGATGTAATTTCCGGAGAGCTAGGTAATTTATCGAATGAAACAGAGGATATTTCGGTCATCAAAAAATTCTTCAGGTGTCCCAGAAATAATGATAATAGCTGTAATGTTATGAAGATCGGTCCGAACCGGTTAAAAAGACCAGTCCTTGTTCAGTCTTTCCAGAATTGATCCATCCCTATTTAAAATTGTGCAGAGTAAAAAAGATACTGCAGTCTTCTTACAGTGTAACGATAATCTAAAGCATCTTAATATTCAAAGCATCTTGCAGTTATAACATATGGGTGATGCCGACTCTGGACTTTTAAATTTATTACTGATCGGACTCAGCTAATCAAATTTATCAGGAGTTGAGTCCTTATCGTTATATTACAGTATTATGACTTTACGTACTGCACTTAAATATGATTATCGATGATTATCAATTAGTTAGACAATAGATAAACAAAAAAATATCATGACAGCTGACGTAGTAATATAATATTATCGCGCTTAAGAAAGCGTTATCATAAACTTATGAGTTTTCATAATTGATCGTACATATGTCGACACCTCGGCAAAGTTTAATAAATTCCGCTGTAAATTTTCTTAAAGATCCAAATGTTCAAAGCTCTCCTCTACAAAAGCGTGTAGCTTTTTTAGAATCTAAAGGTTTAACTTCCGAGGAAATTGAAGAGGCATTGAGGAAAGCTAAAGGTGATGAGATTACCAAGAATACCGAAGTTGCCCTACCACAAAATGCTCAAGCTAATAATGGCCCTTCAAGTGGTCAACCTGTAGTTATGCAGCCTCCTCCGGTTCCAAGAATGGACTGGAAAGATTATTTCATTGCCGCTGTTCTTGTTGGTGGCATTGGCTATGCGATCGTTGCGATCGCTAAGGTTTGTTGTAATTCTTTAATTTTTATTTTATTTGATTGGATTTGATTTGATTTGATTTTATTTGATGTGATTCGATTTGATTCTATTATTTTCATTTATATTTATCATAATTTTTTCTCATTTTTCTCAGAAATATATTACTCCTCTTTTGACGTTACCAACTGCTGAAGAGCTTGATCGAGACAAACAACTTCTTACTGATCAGTTCACAACTGCTTCTGAAACTTTGGACACTGTCAAACTTGATATCCAACTTGTTAAAAAAAGCATTGAAGAACAATCTTTTAAAGTTAGGGAGGCTTTAGAGAGATTGGATAATATGTTGAAAAATTTAAAGGATCATGAAATAAAAAAAGAGGCTGAACTTAGAAATTTAAAAGAAGATGTAGACACAATACGAGACTTGATTCCAAAGGTATACTCTTCTTTATGTATCTTATATATTATATGTTGCTTTAATTATTTAACCTTTTTTTATTTTATTCTCTTCAGCTACTTGAAAAAACGAAAGAGTCTCAATCTCAATCCCTAAATGATTTACAACAAGAACTCAAATCATTAAAATCTCTTCTTGCAAATAGACGGACTCTTTCTAATGATGTATTACCATCGTCTCCGACATCAACTGTTACCCCAACTTCTCCTATTGTTCAATCTATATCCTCTCATCCTGGAATTACTTCGGACCGTCCAACAATCCCAACCTGGCAAATGACAAACAACACTTCCACTGCATCAAAAGTTCCTTTGGATTAGTCATTGTAATTTTTAAGTTTTTAAATAAAAACATCTAAAATTCGTGTATTTATTTTGGATCAAAGAAATGCAACCATACTTTCATATTATTCTAGTTGGGAATAAAACTTTCATGTACTATACTTATTTTATAACGAAACCTTTATTTTGCGCTTATTTTTGATCTTAAAAATTGTCGCGAATGATCGTGTACTCTTTTATTAATAGCTCTAACCCTAAATCCTAACTTAATCATAAAAAAAAGCCGGCAAAAAAGGCTCCAAACATTTTTAAAAATAGTCCCAAATTTCATATCATCCCGGGCCTAAAGTATCTGCGGACCGGGCATGGCGGGCCAAAAATTTTATAATAAATTTTGTGGGCCGGGCCAGAAAAAAATCTAATGCGGGTCGGACCGGGCCGGGCCGGCAAATAAATTCTGGAAAATCTGGCAAAAATTGGCCGACCGAATATTTGCGATTTTGATAAACTTTTGATTCGGATGTATCAAAAATTTATCACCGCCAAATCAAAGGAATCGGCAAATATTGGTCGGCCAAATTTTCCAGAATTTATGAAAACAGCTGTAAATGCGGGCCGGGCCGGGCCGGGCCACAAAAATAGGTAATTTGCAGGTCTCTAATAATAATGGGTATAGATGCCATCAAAATTGGTTTTTGAAAAAAATCTATTTCATTTTCATTAAAGTAAATTAAAATTTGTTATGAAAGAGCAAATCTAATTTATATATTTTTGTTTTGGATAATGTTAAATATCGCAGGTTGCTATATTGCAGGTTAATATGATTGACCAATTAGATCACAGGATCTTGTGTAACAAAAATGAACGAAAAATTAGGAAAAAAGTCAAAATTTTAAATATCTCGAAATTTCATTATGTAAACTTGTCCTGGGCTTCTAATTAAAAGTTTTTAACACTTAATTTTGCATAATCCTAATACTAGCTTGAACACTAACCCTAGCTAATAATAAATTTAAATTTTTTTTTAAAGTTACGTATTAACCTGCGATATCACAACCTGCTACATTTAACAAAACTCTTTGTTTTTTATAATTTTGCTTATATAAAAAAAGTTTTATTTTTTAAAGTAAAAACAATTTATTTTAATTTTAATTTTGGGTTTTAGAATCTAAAATAATTTTGTTTATATTTGAGTGTTGCTAAAAGAAAATCCAAAAATTTAAATATGATTTATATTTAAATTTTCGGGTTTTCTTTTAGTGACACTTATATATAATAAGAAATATTTTACAAAAGGATATTTCTAAGCATCTTTAACCAGAGATGCCTAAAGATATCTAATAATAATTTTTTTTTTTAAATGTTACGGTAACTATTTAGGGTTTGACACATTTTATTAACTTTGGTTCAAATGCCAAGACAGTTATATGGGTCCCCTCTGACTTTGTTATATTTATCACAATGTTTGTCAAAGCACTTTATAAGTACTTATAAAAAATATTTATTAAACATAAGGTAGGTTGGATTAGTACTAAAATATGCTTATTTAAAGCATTTATAAAGTAATTAAAAATTTAGTAATTAATAATATAAAATTTAATACTTAATTAGTATTTTTTTTTTAATTCAGCTGTCTTGCCTTATTTATTATGATATCAGTCTTTTAAAAATTACAATAGCTTTATCTATAGCTATAGAGGTACAATCAAAATAAGACTTGTTCACATGATTTTATATACCAAACATGATCTGCTTCAGTAGCTTTTGGCCTCCCTCAGGATCCTTAACTTACTAAGAACTTTTTTTTCATTGTTCATTGGCTGGCAGCTATCCATTGCATCAAGAAGTAAAATAAGAAAAAAAAAACATAAAACAGATTAAAAAAAAACACAGAAATAAAGAGGGCTACAATAAAATATACAAATACAAAAAAAAAAAAAGATTAAGGGATATCAAAAAAAAAAAAAAAAAAACAATTTTGCCTATCCTAATGTCATTATTATAAGTCTGTAGGTAGTTTGAAAAAATTATATATTGATTAGACAAATTAGTTTTTATTTCTATTTTTTTCTAAATTAGTATGCGAAAATAAAAACCTAATAGAAAAATTTCATTGACTAATTTAAGATAGAAAAGTCAGAACAAAGTCTTAAAGCATTATTTGTATAGATATTCATTGCATTCGAGAAACATATATATAGTGCTCCTATCGGACCAGACCAGATCAAACTTTTAGTCAAGTTTGGATTTGATTTGATTTTCAAACTGGACTCAAACTCAAACTTTTTTTAAAATCAAGTTCAGTTTGATTTGGTTTTAAACTTTTTAATTAAGTTTGAGTTTGATCTGAGTTTGGTTTGAAAGTTTGCAAACAGTTTGAAATTTGAAATATATATATGTATTTTTATGTGCTGAACAAGTTCACTTATTATGCCAAAATACTATTTATTAGTAAAATTTTGAGTAATTTAGCATTTTTCATAATTTTACTAATAAAATTATGCAAAATGCTAAATTACTCAAAATTTTACTAATGAATACTACTTTAGTATCATAAGTGAACTTGTTCAGCACACAAAAATACATTATTATAGTATATTTAATTTTATTTTTCTTTATTTTTGAAGAGAAGATGCTTAATTTTGGAATTTTCATTAAAATTTTCGGAATTAAGCATCTTCTCTTTCAAAAATGAAGAAATATAAAATTAAATATGCCAATATGATGTAATTTTGTGTGCTAAACAAATTCACTTATGATACTAAAGCACTATTCATTAATAAAATTTTGAGTAATTTAATATTTTGCATATTTTTATTAGTAAAATTATGTAAAATACTAAATTACTCAAATTTTATTAATAAATAGTGCTTTAGTATTATAGGTGAACTTGTTCAACACATAAAATTACATCATAATAGTATATTTAATTTTATATTTCTTCATTTTTGAAAGAGAAAATGCTTAATTCCAGAAATTTTGATAAAAATTCCAAAATTAAGCATCTTTTCTTCAAAAATGAAGAAAAATAAAATTAAATATACTGTTATGATGTATTTTTGTATGCTAAACATATTCACTTATGGAACTAAAGTGTTATCTATTAGTAAAATTTTGAGTAATTTAGTATTTTGTATAATTTTATTAATAAAAATATGCAAAATATTAAATTACTCAAAATTTTATTAATTAATAGTGCTTTAGTATTATAAGTAAACTTGTTCAGCACATAAAATTATATTATATCGGTATATTTAATTTTATATCTCTTCATTTTTGAAATAGAAGATGCTTAATTTCAGAAATTTAATAAAAATTCTAAAATTAAGCATCTTCTCTTCAAAAATAAAGAAACATAAAATTAAATATACTGTTATGATGTATTTTTATATGCTGAACAAATTCACTTATGATACTAAAGTACTATTAATTAGTAAAATTTTGAGTAATTTAGCATTTTGCATAATTTTATTAGTAAAATTATGAAAAATGCTAAATTACTCAAAATTTTACTAATAAATAGTACTTTGGCATAACAAATAAACTTGTTTAGCACATAAAAATACATATATATTTCAAACTTCAAACTGTTTGCAAACTTTCAAACCAAACCCAAATCAAACTTAAAATCAAATTTGAGTTTAGTTTGAGTTTGAAAAAAAAGTTTGATTTGATTTGAGTTTGAAAATTAGTAAAATTTTAAGTTTGAGTTTGATTTGAGTTTGAAGTTTGATCAAATCTAGACTGAACCAGACTCAAACCTAGGAGCTCTACATGTATACATGTGTTTGTTGTTATATTCTAATTTAAGAGATAAATAATGTTGACTTGTTTGATATATGTGATGTTGATCATTTAGAGGAGGTAAGCTAAATCGTCCACTTTTTACAAAAATTTCTTCAAAAAAAAGTAGTAGGCCAACAAGAATATGTGAGGTTCTTTTTGTAAGTTTTACAGTTGTATAGTTCAGCTTTTCCATTTCTACCAACTTAGAAATGCATATTGGCTACTTCTACAGACTTGTTTCTAGAATAATCCTTTTAATTTGGATGCCAAATACCT